CCCCAGTTCTTGTATGCATACATAAATAAAATAAATATATTTTTTTAATTGGCAATAAAACCAAAAAAGGGAAATTCCTGCTGAGTCAGTCTGCATGAGTTTGCATGTTTTCCTTCTATCGGTGTGGTGTACCAGGTGCTCTGGTGTCCTCCCACCCGGGTGTTGTCCCCTCTGACGGGGCGAGAGGGACTTGCCACACAGGATCTAGCTGGAAGCGCCTCCTCACGGGGCCTGTTTGCCCCCTAATGCTCTGAGCTGTCCTGAGCGGCACTAGTCCCCAAACCCTGAACTGCAGCAAGTGAGATAGAAACTGAGTGGACAGATGAGTAAAAACAATTAAATGGTATTAGGAGTGTTTTGGGTCTTTATTTTGAAATTTGATGATGTTTCATGACAGAAATATTATGGGAACTAACTCATGTCTGGATCATTCGCCTATCGCCAGCCTGGTTTCTTGGCATGTTATTTCCAGTAAGTGGAAGGACACAGTCCTGACAATGAATGATGACTTAGTGAGGTTTTTTCTTTTTTCTTTTTTTTCTACATGGTGTTTCGAGGGTCTGAAGAACTACATTAAAACTCTAAATATGGGCTCTCCCTGGTGGCACAACTGGTGAAAAGCACTGCATTATGAAACTCTCCGCAGCCACTGAAGCACAATTTCAATCCCCAGCCAGGGAGCTGACCCACATAGCACAACAGACCTCTCCTGACCTGTCCACTGCTCCCCTCAGCAGTGTACTTCCTCGATCTGCCTGTTCTGCTCCCCCCTCTGTCTCTGGTGACTCCTCTCACCCACCACACCTCTGGCCTATTCCCCAGTTCTGTAAGCATAAATAAATACATCTTTAAAAACAAAAAACTCTGAATCTACTACTATGCCTGTTGTCAGACCTTAAAAATGGAGACTAGGCCCTCCCTGGTGGCGCAACGGGTTAAAGCACAGCACTGTAAGCTGGCAGCAGCCACTTGGATGCAAGTTTGATCCCGGCCAGGAGGTGACCCACATGGTGAAGCAGATCTCTCCTGTTTGGCCTGCTGCTCCCCTCAGCAGTGTACTTCTTTGATCTGCCTGTTCTGCTCCCCACTCTGTCCCTGCTGTCCCTCTCATCTCCTATACCTTTGGCCAGGAGGTAGTTCTGTATCCCAGAACCCCTTCCCATATAGAACCCCAGTTCTGTATGCATAAATAAATAAATCTTAAAAAAAAAAAAGGAGACTAGCATGATATCCCTATGTACTTCAGTCAGAGATATGTGGATCAAAGGGAGTAATGTCTAAATGTGCAAATTATAAATTTCAACAGAGTATATAGATATTTAAGGCTACTAGAATTTAGCTTATTTGCTTTATGAGGGAAATTAAACCTTAATCACTGGTTATGATCCTAATGGGCATGAATTTCTATCATGTTGAGAGAACGTAATATAATAACTAAAAGCACCAACTCCAGCCTCAAAGCACCTCGGTTTGGGGACCCCTGGCTGCTTCTGCTAGAAAACTTTGACTAAGGTTTCTCCATTCTCTAAATTCCCATTCTGAAATTCTACAGGGGGAGAAAAAAATGACACTTCCTCTCAGAGCCCTTCTTGTGATGATTACAGCTATCATTTAACCTAATACTCAAAGATAAAAGAAAACTGATTTTATTCTGAGTGTTGGGCCCCTAAAGCCCCCTCATGACCCGGGACTCAGACATCCCTTATGTAATTCCATACTCACGCGGCACTTTCCTGGTATGGTGTCTGGTCAACCCACTGCCAGTGTCTTCTCTGATGCAGAATGCGTGTTTTAGTCAGCCCGATGTAGTAATGAGATTCTGGAGTCAAGTTCTGGGTAATGAAATTCTAAGGGTGAAAAGAAAGGAGTTTTTATCTTGAGAGGACTCAGGTTGAAGTGAGACCTTGGTGGCCTCAGGGAGAAGAGAAGAAAAGGAGAGGACCCATTAAGAGCCACGCGGGATGCAGCCAGGGAGTCTAGGTCTTCTCTGGCTGAGCAGCACCAGCCAAGACGTCACTTGTGAGAGTAAAGTTTGTCTTAGTCAGTTCAACCTGTATAACAGGTAGCTCATAAACAGTTTCTCACCCTCTGGGGGAGGAAGCCCCAGATCAGGGTGCTAACATGGCTGGGTGAAAGCCTCCTGCTTCCGGTACATACAGGCTTCTACTTGCTGTGTCCGTCAAGGTAGAAGGAACCAGGCAATGTGTGGGTCTCTCTTGTAAGCACACTCATCCCACTCCTGAGGGTCCCATCCCATCATGACATGAGCACCTCCTAATAGCATTACATTTTGGGGTTAGGACTTCTACAGATAAATTAGTATGGACACAAATGCACATATAGTTATGATCAATTTATCAACTTATATGGAAGTTATTTCTATCCATACTCATAATATATTCTAATCTCACACTCCCAACCCCTCTCATTTTTTCACTGGCTGTCTTCAAACTTGTCCATGTAAAACATTTGTAGATTAAATCATTTTCCTTTCATAATTTCAGATTCTTTAACGTCATTTAATTTTTAAGTGTGACTCCTTATGACTGAACTTCCTTATATCACTAAAAACTTCTTTCTCTTAAAAAGTTAATTTGGGGCCCTCCCTGGTGGCGTAGTGGGTTAAAGCACTGCACTAAGAAGCTGAA